GGTAGCAGCACCCTCTTGTGAAGGCGATGGTGGGAAGCTGTTGCAGCTTCGTCAGGGGATCCCTTGGAATGAAGGGTGATGTCCCTTTCTGTAACTGTAACTTGAAAGTCGCACAGTGCAAAAAATGCTGTTACTGGCATTGCTTGATTGCCACGCCATGCCACTATGTTGATAAGCTGGATCTTTTATGCCATCTCTGTACAGCTGAGATCAAGCTGTAAGTCTGCGACTTTTCGGTTGAGCGAAAGTCTACAGTCTCCCTGCACGGACCCACACATCAAGCCGAACCGTCCTTACTCCTGAGGAGCTTGCGAACTGACCATGTTGCGGGGCTTGCCAGGTATGGTGTGCTCCTGGGGTTTCGACATCGGCGAAGTGCAGGCCTGTCAGGTATGGATGACACGACATGAAGCCCTCAGAACACCAGAACCAACAATGGTACGAAGCGGACAGCTGGCCTCTTGGAGCTTCGGGACGAAACCCACAAACCTCGGGCGTTTCTGCTGTGGAGAGGTGCACTGGCTGGGACGTTTGCGGCACCTGCATGCAGTCTTCTGCGACATGAGTGGTGTCTTCTTAACTGCCAGACAGAATCAGGCCTGTGCCGCTTCATCTTGTCCTGCCTGCAGGCGTTCGAAGGTAGGGTCAAGCAGATCCCTGATACTGAACGTGGGGTCTAGGGCCCATAGGATCCTGGAATGAACCCGTACTGCCCGAAATGCAGAAACGATGACGCTCAAACTATGCAGGATGGGATATCTTGGTGCGACCAAGCCGGTGCCTGCAAAGGTCGTGATTGTGCAAGCTCCTTCCGCACTTAGCTACATGGATCCGGTGTGATGCATCCACCGGCACACGGATACCTCTGCAAGCCATGATCGTTAATTTGTTTCACGCGGTGCATGCTGGCTTAATCTTGATCTGAAATCAGAGCTTTGGTCACAGCCTTCTCACGCGAGTCGGTCTTGGACTAATTACTTTGGTCGACATCTTCGATGCAGTTGCTCACCGCTCCGCGCGCACCTGATTGTGAGTGAATTGAGGATCATGCCGCGATCAACAGCATTGAGGCTCGATTCTTGACTCACGGCCATTCCACCGGCCAAAGAAGTGCTTCGATGCTTACGCTTCGCCGTCAAAGATTATGCGGGGCCTCCTTGTTCGAAACTCCTGGACACAGCCCGCTCAGCCAATAAGGAGCCCTGATGAGCCCACAAAGTAATCCAGACAGGACCATACTCCCATGCAAGGTTTTTGTCTCCACCAGTGACTTTTTGTGTTTTGTTTGTTAATTAATCCTTCTTGCAGGTTAACCGATGTCAGCTATCCTGTTTGATGAAGCCATGGCTGCAGAGTATGCCTGTCTCGACACCTACAAGTCAGCAAATTGGTGAAAGGCCCAGTCCTGTCGTGCTGCTACATGCCCCGAAGCGTGAGGCCTTGGCATTCAAAGATCTCGGACCTCACGTCTACATGTCTACAGTGGCAATGATATGGCAAGAGTTCCAAAATGGTGCGGGCTTCAAAGCGACTACCGCACGCCTTTGGACCTGTGGCTTGAACACTTTGCACAAGCACGGAAGCAGGGTCGGGCTGTCGTCTCTCGGCCGTCATTCCGCAAGTTCGATTAGATTTGCAGCTGCGCATGTGCACTGCAAGGAGTCGGGGATCGGGGAAAGTGACGTCAAAACTGAAACTAGCAGAGCTAGACAGATGCTTCGACGTCCTTGACAGACTCGGTACCCATACTGCAATATAGCTTATCCAAGCTCTGCAGAAGCGTGTCCTACAACTGAGACTGACGGACTAAGGATCTGCACAAGATCTATGACGTGCCCGATGTTCTCAGTGAAGTCGACTTCGTCCACCTGTAACAGTGCCACCATCAGTGAATGCTGAAGCTTCAGCATTAGGGTGCACTTGCTCTGGCAGGACTTCAAGTACATCGAAGCTTCAGAGCCTTGGAGAGTTTACAGTCTGGCTCAATGGTCATGCCCTGGCAGTGCTGGGTTGTTCCGGACAAAGATCGCTAAAGAGCAAGACAGGGACGCTCTTTCTGCTGGGCTTCGGAATCCAACTGTCAACTACTCGCGCGGCAACTGAGTCGAAAGAGGTACCTGTAGCCAAGATTACTAGAACACCTCCCTCCCAGCCACGAGCTAAAGAGCCTGCAACGTCGAGTATTCTGTCGAGCTCGCAAGCTCCAGTTTCGGAACTATCTTGGTGACGACTTGCCAATCTCATTCCAAAGAAACAGCAGCAAATACACTAAAACCAGCACTCGACTGATGGGCTTGGGGCAGAGGGACCAGCATCTTTCCCACGGTTGCGCACCGTCACAAGAACCACCTGGGCAAGTGGGATGCTCACCAGCGTACCAGCGGTCCACAAAGCAAGGGCGACTTTACGTGGAGGATCATCTGAAAGGTGCATTCGGGATCCAGGTAACTGCACGAAGAACCAAGGCAAAGTCGTTTTCTTGCATCTGTCCAGCAAAAAGAAAACGGTTAGGTGCAGGGTAAGGATGCCCAAAGCTAAAGGAGACAGTTTGCTCACCGTCCACTTGAGTGCTCCAGGCATCGTAATGGGTGGCCGGAGACAAAACATGAGCACCCCCAAATGAAAGCAGAAACCGCCACAGAAGAACAGCGAGCCGGACTCAGTGCAAGCTGGCTGCCACCACAGGGGAACATCTCCGGCAGGAATATGAGGCACGCACCCAACCCAACCGAAACTGCAAAGCAAAGCTGCTCCAGAAGACCAAAGCCAGGGATGTTGAGCTGCCCAGTCTTGCAATTGCCTCCTTCGTAGCAGAACTGCATGCACCAACAAAGCCATCGGCAAGCGATACGCCCAGAACTGGTAGTAGAGATTTTCCTCGACATGCTGCCACATGGTCGCGCAGACACAAATAACAGCAGTTACCACTGTACCAAGAATGGGCGAGGACAAGGGGTTCAGCACGTGCAGAGCCCTGAAAACCAGCCAAACCTTGAGATCGACAAAAAGCTGCCAGTGATGAGAAAAGGTCAGGGATCTTAGAAGCATCTCTGTAGACCATCCTGAATCAATGTATCCGCAGGATTCGAAGTGAGGACATATACCAGCAGTCCATACTCGTGATCGCACCATGATGAAGCTAAGAGGTAACTGTCGCCCAAGCTTTCGCCACAGTGCATCTGCACTTCCAAGCAAATTTTCCGAATGAACTTTCGTCACCAGCACTGCCAACACACCGAAGACATCAGCAAAGCGGTGTGCATAAAACCAAACTATTCGACGCTTGTTCATCTCAGGATCGTTGGTGACAAAGACGACGTTTAAGTGCAGCAAAACAATTGAAGCCGTGCCAATCATCCGAGCCCCATCAACTGCCGAATCAAGAGCCGTGCTCTTCACTTTGTCCTTCACAGCCTCGGCATTTCGCCGGGAACGAATGGCCCAAGCGAGTGTGAATGTCAGCCACGGAAGAAGCATCGCTGCGACCTCGACAAGTGCCGTCATGCCCAAAGTGTGGCGCAAGTCCAGCTGCGCAACTCTGCCATGGTGAACTTTGACCCATTGCAGGGCGAAGGCAGCCGCTGGGATTGCTGCTTCGTGCATTCTTGGTAGGCACAGGACATCCACCTCGGCATTCTCAAAGAAGCTCTTTGACCCCCTTGACATAGCCACAAGTGCGCCTCCATGCCGAGTGCAGCCGTCGATGTCTTCGCAACCCACAGAGGCTGGCTGCCGGAGCATGGACATGCAATGCTCGCATTTGTAGAACTCCTTGGCACTTTGCGCCGAAGCTGTGCACGGCTGCAGAACTCCACGCTCTGAAGCCCAAACATCAAGCATGCCTAAAGACCCTTACAAACCACTGTGCAGCAGTGTCCTACCTTTAACAACCATGTATGCCCAGTATACCCAGCATCATGCTACTACCATGGCGAAAGGCACCAAGGCTCGTGTAGGATGGCAACCTGAGGATTTACGCCCAAACAGCATCTCTTGTAGGTGTGTACATGATCCCAACATGCTGGATCTCCTCCTCGAGAACAACATCGATCGTAGCTGAATTCCGGCGACCAGCAACCTGGGTCAAACTCGTGTCGCAGCATATCTTCTGCTTGCTGAAGATAGCCCCGCACGCTCTGGTCAACAAATCCTCCCCCACTTTGGCACACGGACTCGGAATGCACAGGCAGGTCTAAGTCGGGTCGGGCAACCACCTCCAAGACAGACTCCTCACGCAAAGCAGAGAGGGAAGATACCAGATTGACATGTCTCCTGCAACAGTTCGCATAGCTGTTTCCTCCCTGCCAACAGAAGGCATCTTCCGCCAAGGGATTGCAGCATCTCCTCTCCATGTCAAGGTTGCCCTTCCAGCAGGTCTCTTGTACTTCCTTTGTCATCGGGCAACATCTCTCATACGTGTACTCACCACCCCAACATGCTGGATTTCCATGCGGAGGGCCACAGCAGTCTTCCTAGGTGAAGCCCAGAGTCCAACAGCTCGAAGCAAAAGCCGGCTGTGCTTGGCAGCATGTCTCCTTATCCAGGCTTCTGGGCAAGTCAAGGCTGACTTCTGGGCTTATGCAGGGAGTGAGGTTCAGACAATTGCAAATCCCAGCAAAAAGAAAACAACTACTCACTGGCATGCTGTGTCTCGTAGGTGTAGATGCCATCCCAGCATGCAGGATTCCCCAGGGCGCCGGGAAAGGCCGTGCGACAACAAACATCTTCTGTGAGCACCCCGTTCCAGCAGTCGAGCCCAAGGCAGCAGCCAAAGCTGAGCACCAGACCCAGAGTGCCTGTGGACTGAAGTGCCATTGCGAGTAAGCTTGCAGCAAGCGCTCTGTGGATGACATGCTGCGTGCACTTATCGGGTCGAACACCTGCAAACTTTGCGAAATCATATACACAGGCACAGGCCAAGACCGCCGAGGGGGATCATGACTGAAAGGACCCCTTAGAAGAGGCCATCCGATTCATCGAAACTCTACATGCGATGGGGCTGTTCCAACCTCTGATCCTGGTAGGGTGGTTGCAATGGGAACCGGTTTATTGAAATTTCAGATACCCTGAAGGCCATCCTGGTTCTCGCTTGCTCAAGCGTTGTCGGCCCGCTCTCTTGCTTTGGGCTTTGTGTCCAGTTTTCGGTGCTACTATGTGATAGAAAGATGTATCAACGCACCCAGCAATAGTATGACCAGTTCTTCAAACGCCCATCGCTGCACTGCAGCCGAGACATCCACGAGCTTTATGTTTTGTGCCATTCGGTCGTGGTAGGGTGAAAGTAAGGTTGTAGCTGCTGGCTGCGCTTTTTGCATTTAGGGGTTGGTTCGTGGGTTTACGGATTAAAAGACATTTTGTTCGGGCAGTGATGGCTCAGAGTTGCAGGCTGGAAATCGGAACGGCTTGAAATCTGAAAGGGGCAGGAAACGGCACCAAGTCGAGATTTTATCCTAAATAATAAAGTGTCTAAAACCTAAAAACCGCCTTAAATGCTAAATCCTAATACCTAAATCCTAAATCTTCGAAATTTGACTTGAAAGATTGACAACACGGAGCAAGCCGCTCGAAAGGAACTAGAGAATTGCAGAGGAAGGAGCAAACCGCTCGAACGAGAGACTAGATAATTTCGAAAGGGACTAGAGAAGGTCAAAACAAGGAGCAAACAGCTCGAAAGGAACTAAAGAACTTCAGAACAAGGGGCAAACCGCCCGAAATAGACTAGAGAGCTTCGAAAGAGACTAGAGAGTTTGAAAACAAGGAGCAAACGGTTCGAAAGGAAGTAGAGAATCTGAGAAGAAGGAGCAAACAAGTCGAAAGAGGCTAGAGAAATTGAAAACAAGGGGCAAACCGCTCGAAAGGAACCAAAGAATTTCAGAACAAGCAGCGAACCGCTGGAAGGCTCTAGATATCTTCGAAAGAGACTAGGGAATTCGTTTGGAGTCCGGGGGGCGGGGCTGTGGGTTTCGGAAGGTTTCTTATATCGAAACCACCACGCTGTTTCTAAAGATTTTAAAGGCCTCCCGCATTTTTCTAGAGGAGCAGTAGCAGCGAGGATTATCCGGCTTTAGACGTAGAGCATCAGGAATATTACTAAGGGACTGACCGGTAATGGGAGAGCCAACCCTCGGTGACGAAAGTTACTACCCAAGACTCTACACCCCAAGTCTCAGCACCTAAACCCACCATGCTCCACACAAAGACCCCGAGTCGCACCTGCTTGCATGAATTCGGCCTCCAGAACTCCGCAGTTCCGAGATGGTGGAAAAGGATCAGATAGATCTGAAGGCTATTGGTCTTAAGGGTTCAAAGGGTTCTACAGCTTGACAGGATGTGGAAAGGGTTCAAGGCCAAGGGATGCTCAAGGTTTCACATCTGTGCAGGTAATCCATTGACACAATATACCAACATGACAATATGTATACAGGCATGAACAAATACGCGCAATCTGCACTCAGAGGCTTCATGTCGAATCTGTGTTTGAGAGTTTGGGCTTCGTGTAGGTGTGAGCTTGCAAGGTTTATGGTTCAATGCTTGGCGCAGCAGTATCCCTAGTCTTCGCAGGCCCACCGGTTAAGCCTACTCTTCCAGCTTATGGCGTGGCCTTCAAGGAAATCCTAAACCCTAACCCAGCATGCAAAGCCCTGAAGCGCTTATGGCACTTCTTCCTACTCCTGCTTGCAAAGTTCGCTAGCCCAACCAGGTTACTGACTCAACGCTTCATTCCCGAGCCACGCCTGCAGCCCTCGGAACCATGGCAGCATCCACATGCTGCTCCGAGGCTATGCTCTTAGATGCTCTTAGTAACTCATGGCTTCAAGGCGCCTGTCGTTTCGGTTTCGGCTTTAAGTCGTTAAGGTTTAGCTGGGCTGTAAGAGCTGCCATGCCGCAGGTTTGAAAACCAGCTACGCGCCGTGCAAGCTGAAAAAAAAAGGCATCACCTGCAAACCGCAAATTTCAACTGTCATGAGCAAAGCGATCCTCACAAACAGGCTGTTTCGGCCTTGCTGACACGAGACTTCTAACCGGAGACGCTTTTAAAGGGAGGGACACGGGGAGTCGAGGGAGGAGAGCGAGAGAGAGGTCGTCGGTTAAAGCCGTCCGTATTTTCATAAGCTATACGTGTGTGTGTGTGTGTGTCCAACCAGCGGCACTCCGCGACTGGAAAGCCGACGGAAGCAAGGCATGAACCAGTTACGTCGTCGACATGTGCCGCGCGTCGTCCTACCAAAGTTGTAAAGTGGCACTCCATCATGACTCTGGCCGAGGCAGGGTTACTTGCATGTGTGGTTCTAGAGTTTCTGGTCGGACCGAATGGACCTAGTAGGACCTCGAATCAGGGGTTTGCCGGCAGAAGCCGTGGAGAGCTGAACAAACCATGACTTAGGCCTGACGTCCCTGAGCCGGAAACCTCCGCAACCCAATGTCAAAGTTGCCGTAGCCTAGACCTATCGGAGCTGCCCTCGATCCTGACATCTTCTTCAGGAATGGATTCCAAGCCTCACATCCCGAAGCCTGCATCTCGGCTTTTGCTACAGCTCGGGCTTCATAGTTGGCGATGTAAAGAACGTGTACAGGCTGTCGTTCGCATCCGACGGGTGCAACCTCCAATCAGGATTTCAAGCTTAGCGACTATCAAGACGTCCGTTCTTGGGTTCTTGTGTTGGCAGCTGTTGGCTGTGAGTATTATATGTCCGCTGAATCCTTCTCACCGTTCGTTATGTGCGAGGATACGATTGTACTGCGTCAGATCTGGGACGATAGAAACTATGGCTTGCAGACTTTTGCTATCTGCACCAGCTGTTCAGCTTCGGGTCTGTGGGTCAGCAATGGTCAGCATCTGTAACAAAGTCACCGCTGCTTCCTTGCACGCGCCTCCTTAACTGTACGAACCAGTCCTCCTTACCCGTCAGTCCATAGTCATGTTTTGATTCTGCCGAGGGCATTCCAGAAGTCCAGAAGCCCTCCGATTGCCTGCCTGCAGTAGCTGTTGGAACAGAGGAGAGCACGGAACTTATGTGTAGCTCTTAGGAAGAGTCGGGTGGTGCCTCAGCTTCGTCCAGGCCTCACCGAGGAGCTCGGGCGATGCGGCGCAGCCGCGGCCCTGAATGACCTAGAATCAGCTTGTTTGGGCCCGGGACTGCGGGCCGAAGATGGCGAGGTTTGGAAGAGGTCCTTTTTCGCCAAAGCAATGCAGTAACGCTATGTGGTTCTTGCGTAAGTGCGTAAGTGTCAAGAGGTATTGGTTCGTGTCCCTGCGAGGCGCCCGCAGAGGCGCCCGTGGCTCCGGCTGTGGTACGGTGCATGTCTTGCGCTCAAGTCCTGTTATTTCCACAGCGGTCCCCTGACTCCCGCCAAAAACGATTTTAGGAGTGGATTTTAGTTTTTTTGGCTTGCGGGACGGGTTGGGTGGGATGCAGGGGGGTGCGGGGGCTGCGGGAAGCTCGCGAGGCATGGGGGCGGCGGAGAGGGGGGGCTCGAGGCACAAGTCTTTACGTGCAAATGGGCTTCGAAGCAATACACAGTTGGAAGCAGCATACTGTATTGACATGATTTAGATTAGACTTGATGCGATCTGTCATACAAGCATTTTGTATTATTTTATCTTATACTGATATTAATTCACTTTGATATGCGTGAGGGTTGGTATACGATGTTATCGCAGAATGCTCACCTCACCGAGCAATATGTGATCTGTGAAATGGTCGCCCACTGATAGACTGACGAACGATCCCTTGCAGGCACTCACGGCAAACCTGTTTTTCGGCTCTCAAGCACTGAGGTCCGTTGAGCCCTGTGCAGCGGGGAACACGCACACGACATGGCTGGCTGAACCTACAATGACAATTACTTTGAGCCTTGAGCCTTCTAGGGCTTGGGGCCTTGAGCCAAATGCTGCCGTTTTACGAGCGAGTCGGACTGAGAGACCACTGCCACGCTTGGTAGCCAAAGGCAGACCAAGACATGGTCATGTACACTGTTCATCATAGCTCAGATAGCGATACCTAGAATTGCATTAGACATCGAGGTCTCTTCGCACCCCCCATGAGTTAGGCCTTCGGCCTCGCGTGGCCTGAAGATTGAAAAGAGATTAGCTCGACAGCGTTTGGATTTGCATATGTGCGTGTCAGTTTCCCAATTAAAGACTGCGTGACACATGGATACGTCAATAGCGATCCCCTGTTCTTGCAGGAATGAGAAGATCACACTACTGAAGAAAGAAATCTACCCATGATGTGGTGTAGAAATCCATGTGCAAAGATTAAAGATGTAATCGATGAAGTCGACGAAGTACAGGTAGGAGATCATCAGTCCCATTGATCGTTGCGCCATCGACGTTGACCATGATGGTATTGGGAGCTGGATGATGATGACTGCTCCTGTCTTTGTTGGACTCGTCGTTCGCGTCCTTGCCAACGGTCGGATCGCTCTGGAGGCGGTCCTTTCGGCTCAGGTGGAGGCTTGGCTTCTGGCCTGGCCTTTGCTTTTGCTCGGGCTTTGGCAGCCGCCGCCACTTCATCATCAGGTACAGGAACGTCAAGAATGCTCTGTTGTCCTCCAGGAAGATGAGTTCCAGTCAAATGCCGCAGAGCCCTTGTATTGTTGGGTTGAGGCTGACCGCGGCTCACCGTGAGCTTGCTGATGAACTTGGGTTGCATCGGGATGTCGAGATCAACCATCAGCGCAAGCAAAGTTTGGGTGATGTGCTTCAATCCCACCAGTAGGCAAATGGCAAATGGGTCGATGCACAGGATGTTTGCAGACACATGGTTCGCTCTTGGTTGTAAGAGCGTGAATTGGCGGTTGTCTGGACGTGGACGTGGTCAGTCGTGGTGGCATGTCGCAGAGATATGGGGGCCCTGCAAGTCGCGTCCCCCGTGGCTGTCGTCGCTTTGACTATCGGAGCTGCTATGCATCTCCGAGACATCAATAGGGATCGGGGACGACGATGCGTGTATGCACGAACACAGGCAAGCATAAGGAAGAAACTCAGCAGCATCGCGCGGATGAGAGGCCTGGCCCGCAAGCTGCCCAAAGGAGCTGGAGGCATGGGAACGATCCACAACACCGCTGCGTGTGCGGCATCCGACTATAGATGATAAACAACCGTAACATAACATGCGACGGCTCCCCTGACCTCGCCACATTTGTACGCAGCAATGTGTTACTCTGGATCCCTCACATCTCTGACCGGTGTGAAGTAGCTATATACGAGGATATCTTGGGGGCCGGGATGGCGGGAGGGGCGGGGGCGTCCCGGGCGGAGGTTCCTTGTGACGCGCAGAGATCTTTGCTCCAAGGCTTTGGTTTGTTCACAGTGGCACAAGCAAGATCAAGTGGCTTGCGTGACAAGATGCAACGGATGATGTGGCATGAGTGAGCGGCAGGCCTAGTAGCGTCATAGCCATAGCACGTCATAGCCATAGCAGTAGTTTAGAAGAAACCGCAATGAAGTGTCGAGATGAAACGTACCTGTTGTAATAGGAAAGAAGTGGTGCTGCGGTCAGAGTGCACCTGAGGTCTGCAGCCTGGATCTAACCCTCTTCGCGCCATAGCAGTGAGCCCGAAATATTGAACGTCGGCTGTCCCACCCAATTTTAAGCGGCAAGTCCGCGAGCCTTGCACAACCTTGACAACGCTTCGCCCACAAGGCCTGCCTTGTGGTAAACCACGATCTCGCTACATCGGTTCTGTGAGACCAAATCCAGGCACGGGTTGATCACCTTGCAGGCTGCCACGCAGATCCACAATTACGCAATCCAACAGATGCCAGCTTTTCACTGAGGCACCTCTGGAAATCCAGGGACCCGGATTGCATTCTCGTAAAGCCAGATGCAGCCTCAGCTGCAAATACTCAAAAACTGCGGGAGAATCTGAATACTATCATCTCAAGTTATCTCGTTTGCCCTCGACGAACTGCAGCATCATCATCAGTCGACACCAAAGACTTCCCTGAACGCAGCAGCAAGCTGGAGACCAGAGCTGTAGATGCAGCAGCCGTGCAAGCATGCAGGCCACAATCAAGCGCCTCTGTGCATCCAAGGGGCGCAGGCAGTACAGCAAGTCACTCTGGAAACCCAGTGGACTTTGTTTAGTGCGCTGAGCAGTCTCAGTTCGCTTCAGAGATCCAAGCCCAGAAAGAGGACCCCGAACCTCCAGGCAGCGATCTGCGCGAAGGGAAACCTAAACCCTAAACCAAGCGACGGGGAGTGAAACCGATCACGGGAAGCTTGTTCGCATGCTGCGAAGCTTCCTTATCGGCCCTGAACATGGGTGTCTTAGAAACGAGTTTACGAGGTTTGCGGACCACAGACAAGGATTTGCTTGTGGGGTTGAATAAGAAGCTAAAACGAAACTGGCAAGCTTCGAAGCCGAAGCCGTGGCTGCTCGTACTCAGCCAAGGGGCCGTCCAGCATCACTCCGAGCGGCCTGCTCGAGAAAGGCCAAAGTGCGGTGCACAAATTCAGCAAACCCATAGACGACTTAGAACCTTCAGAGTCGCTTCTGATCGCAGCTGCCACAGGAAATGGAACACCGCCATTCTTCGAACAGCAGCCTGACGGATGCGGCTTCAGCTTCGAGAGCACTCCTTGGAATGCAGGAAGGCCTTCTAAGTTGCAGGGTTGATTATTTCATTTGCTAAAGTCTGAAGCGATCTCGAAGGAGGAATGAAGCGGGGGGGACTGGAGATCTCGAAGGGACGTATGAGGGCGGGAGTGGAGGGGGTAGGGGAGGGTGTAGGGTTGGGAAGGGGAAGAGGTGGATGGAGGGGAGAGGGGAAGTGAGGGAATGGGAGGAAGGGAGTACTTGCAGTTCAAACTGCGACATATGTTCTGTCAAGCATCCAGAACTTTGCATCAGCGCGGTAAAAGAGGTTGTAGAAAAGGCCTCGGCAAGGCAGCCTACTCCATTCTACCACATGAATCCCCCTTAATTGCAAAAATCCAATTCGGAGAACGCGACTAGAACCCCGCCCCCGCTAATTGCAATATCCGAGGCGGCCAATCCGATGTAAACATCATGGATGTGCGACACTCCGACCACAACTGCTGCTACGGCATCTACGGACCCAACACATGCCTGTTCACGGTGTGGGGGGCCTGAATCCTTACATTTCTAGACATTGTATATCCGGGAGAAACACAACTGTTTGCTTGACATGTTTCGTAGTCCCAGCACGGTTTCAGGAGCATGAAGTGCTAAGAAAACACCGGGCACCCAGCCCTGCCCGCATTCTGCCCCGACATGTACGGAGCGGAGGCACCAGTCGTCTGTACCTGTCGCTCTGGACAGGACGCAAAAGAATAAACCTTCCACCTTGCACAGGTGTCTGCAAAGGCCAAGTCTGCTGGCAGAGTCAAACTTGGCGTCCCGACTCTGAAGTCGTCGAAAACTGGTCCATTCAAGCTAAGCATTTTCCTATCACGGGCGCATAGACGACCCAAGCACCAGCGCAGGCGCTCATCACGTCAAGGTCAATGTCCCACAAAGAACAGGACCCGCTATCAGCGGAAAACCCTCCGAGCAGAGCGCACTGTCCAGGCAGCCCCAAGGCCCGAAGCCCAGCCTCAGCTTGAGGAACTTCCTTGCTCGGGGGACCTTAAGGCCGGGAAGGAGCTCATGACGATTTCTCATGGTTACTCGTCCATTTAGAATTTTAAAATCCCGAGTCTCCTCGGCTTCAAATCCCGTCCCAGTATGGGGAATCGCATTTGAAGCCTTCTTCAAACTGGCTTCAAGTACCGTCCGGGGAATCGTATTTGAAGCCTTATTGAAGCCGACTTTAAACTGGCTTCAAACACCGTATTTGAAGCCTTGTTGGAGCTGGCCTCAGACTGGCTCCAAATGCCGTCCCAGTGAGCATTGTTGCCTAGAGAAGAAAGCCGGTTCTGGCCCCGCCACATCGAGACTTGTCACCAGGATTCACCCCAACCCACCGAACCCTGAAGCCCCTGTTTCTCTGGACTCTAGTCTACTGACTACCATTGTGCCAGTTTCTGCAGCACGAGTGGGCTCTACAGACTATGAGCTGTAGAGTGGCAGCACTGTTTACGAAATCAGTGTCTTAAGAAACGAACTCATGCCGGCTGCCCGCCACGAGCAATACCAAGCCTACACCCGGTCAAACAACTCCTGCGATTTCCGCAACCAGGCAGTGCCAAATCGAGAACATTGAGGGGCTTGCTTTCCCAAGCTGAAACACAGCAAAAAGAAGCGGAGTTCCTGTTTCAGGGGGTGGGCTCCATAGCCAAGCATCTGGTTCCAGGACCTCTCTTCATCGTAGGTGGCATTCTGGCGCATTCCATTGGCCCCAAAACCAAACCCAAAAGCCTGACCTTCAAATTTTGGGCGGACTTCTAGGAGGATCGAATCAGGCAGAATCTGAGCTTTTCCTTCGGCTCTGCTTGGGACTTCCGAGCTGCTCTCGTCGCAAAGCCCAAAATTGAACCGAAAAGACTCTTGCTCGGGAGTACCCTCAGGAAGCGCTGCGCGGCGCGGAGTAGGGCCGGAGCAGGCCGCAAGGCAAAAAAGCCCACAGCCAGAGGCCTTTGGTTGGCCACAGAGCGAAAGAACCGAGTTCCGAGCAGGGCAACATGACGGATCTTTAGGGTGCTCTTGGTTCCCTGCTCCTCTGCACTCTGCACGGCACGTCTAGCAAGCCCACAAACGCCACAAACGCGGCTCTGGCGGCTCGAAGCCCCCGTGCAACGCCGACGCGAGGAAGTAGCCCTGGCGATCTGGGACTGGTCTTGCAAGCAAGGAAGGTCGTGCTGTGAAGATGGAGGCTTTCGAGGTTTCAGCTGCCAGTTGGCTCTCATTCGAAGTTGCGGTGGCTATGTGCATGTGGAGGCTTGTGCAGGCATATCCTACCAGCCACTCCTACGAGTAGAACATGCTGTGCGTTGTACAGGCTGTCGGAACCTGCAACATGTCCATACCGCGAGACGGCGACTCTGGCTGGAACAAAGCAGCAATCAGAAACATGAAACGTGCAGGCTGTCCTGGTAGGCGCAGTTGAACACCTCATGGAGTCTGGAGTTCTAAGAGAAATTCGGATTAAATTTATTGTTAAATTCCGATTTGATAGTGAGGGCTCCGCCAGCTGCCAGGAAATCAGGAGCATGCTCTGGAGAAAAGATTCTGAGCTTGGGGCCTGGCGATTCTTGGGATCATGAGGCGTTCTCGGATGCTAGACCGCGACGAACAACAACTCATGCTCACGAGCTCTCAGGTCCCGCTAAATATGTCTGCTTCAGACTTTGCACATTTCAGCTTGAGCGTGCAACGGGGTGAAGTCATGGCGTGAGGACCTTATCGTTGTAGCACCGTTCAAAGCGAGAAGAGGTTGTTGCAAGCGCCGAAGGTTTCAGCACCTTGAACAAGCCTGCACAACAACCTGCTGGGGCAACGTTTCAACAGTCCTTCTGCCGTCAGAGCAAACCCTTGACAGATACTACCGCGATGTGAGCACAAGCGTGTGCTATGTCGCCATCCCGACACTTGGCACTGCGCAGCGAGTGCCATGTGGTACATCGCTGAACAAAAAAGGGGTGCGGTAAACACGGAGGGCAAAGTAGCCTAACACTTCCTCAGAGTTGGCTAGACCACCCCAGCGGCTCAGGGCCACATGTGCATGCTCCAGTCTCAGCAAAGGCACCGCACTGAGGGGATCGAAACTCGTGGGGTTCACATACCTCAGAGTTACGCAACCAAGTGCAGACTTGAAGCGCGTCCAAAGAATGCCAAAGATCCCATGCTAGGATCTAACACGATATGTTAGCCACGCCCCTTCAACTTCCACATGCTCCGAAGGTGCACTACTGGAAGCAAGCAAAGACGATGTTAGGCTTTTCGGGCTTCCCGCGCAATGATTGAAATTCTCTCAAGCATGCCCTACAAGTACTTTGACGGTTTCCATTTGCCACGAAGGCACAAATCCGAATCATAGAAGATGATTGCCTTGTACTCCAAGCCCAGAGCATGCAGTTTGAAGAAATCGCGATCAACACCTGAGGCAGAGGGGCAACCCGGCAAAGAGCTCAAGCCCAGCCCACTTCGAAGCTCGGCACTCTCCGTAACTCAGGTTTTCTTGCCGGTGTTTGTCAGATCTTTATCGACCTGAGCAATGCGGGTGCAGGGTTTTAAGAGGAAGCTAAGCTGGTTTGGGAACAGGCAACAGCGAAAAGGAAATGTCGACTCTGCCTGTTCTTGTAAACTGTGGCAATGCCGTGGGCATATGCAGCATGCGCCATGCACACAGCCATCTGGCCAGGTATTGGATCCTCACCACACGCTAAACGTCGCCATCCATCAGTGGTACAGCTGCGGAATGCAGACTGGTAGTTGTCGAGATGTTCGACATCCTTTGTGAAATTTTGGTCCCGGTGCTACTATTGCCTGAGGAGCTGAGGGCGCCCCTTCAGTAGGGTTGCAGTGATATGCAAAAGCACGACGCTTGACAAGCAGCATCCTGGTCCGATTTTGGGGTTGCTGCAGGACGCTTTGTGCAACTGTTCTTCGCGGGTCTTGCTTCTGGGAACTAGTGATTGCCGCAAATTACGCCTAAGGCTACGAAACTGGCAAAGCATCCACCCGAACTTTTCTGGCTTCCGAGGTCCGAGCACCAGGACGTGGCGGCCCAGTGGGGGATGCCTTGGTCTCAGCCCTAGGCCCCAGTCACACATTGCTAGCAGCTAGCGCTTCCCATCCTCTGAGTCGAGAATCCAGCGTTCAGCTCTGGCCGAACCCACGAGACCTCGTGGACTTTGACGCCTCGCCGAGGTAAAGTCGACAAGGAATACACAGAGGCTGCACAGCGACAGGCGGGCTGCAGGCGCATGCGACTTCACCCCATCGCTTGGATCCGAAATCTCCTCGAGCTCTTCGCTCTTCCCAAACCCCAAACAATGTTCGAGTTAGGACACCCATCTGCTTCAGAGCCCAGCGCTGGGTTCCAGAAATCTGGTGCCTTGCCTGCTGGCTGCTAGCACTTCTGGTATCTTCTTGGAAAGCTTACGAATGACACTTCCAAGTGGAGGCGACGTATCATTCAGGCTCGGGTATACTGTACTGGCCAAACGGAGTTGGCTACACATGCAACAACAAAGAAGTGCTCATGCCGACAAAGCATGTGAAGGGTGTCTGGGCTAGTCTTTACACTTTACACGCTTAACAGACGTGGTCACCGCTCCGTTTCCCTGCTTAGCTGCCACGTCTTTGGCCGGAATAATGAGGACCACATCCACTCCGTTCGGTTCTGCCCACGTGCGCTGCACATGGAGCAGCGAGGACTCCTCCAGAAAGCTGTGCGGCAAGCAAACGGCTTGCGAGTGTGCCATTTGCTCGTGTTGCCGCTCCTACACACGCCTTTCCCTAGCACAAGCAGTTCGTGTACATCGAAACATAGGCATTGTGGCTGCAAGTCTACATCAAGACTTCCCTCACCTTTGCCAAAAAGCCTCCAGATTGTCCATCCACTCTGGGCTTCGCTGGAGATCATCAGCGAACACGAAAGCCCGCTCACCGCGGCGAAACCTTTTGCCAATGGCTTCGGGCTTGGGGGTTCCATGCCAAACCAACGGACGGCTTGAGCTACCAGGCATCAAAGCGGCATCCACGCTGCCATGGTAGATCTGTCGCTATCTGTCGCTATCTCCGAAGCATGTCCCACGCGCTTGCAAGCCAGGCAAGAGATTTTTGGGAAACACATTCCATTAGCCCACGTTGCTCAAAGAGGCTTGCAGAATGTGTTTTGGTCCAAAATTACTTCTTCTTCCGTACGCTACTCGAG